GGTCAGTTGAGCTCCTGTGTAGCGGAGCACATAGAGCACAGAGAGGGAGAGAGAGGACGGAAAAAAACAAGCAGGAAAATGAAACTTATCGCCGTCTTTTTTTTAACCGACCTAAAAAAAAGTTATCGTGCGATTAATTGATTTATTGACTATCGCGACAGGCCTACTAATCATTTAATATTCACCTGTATATTCGCCTGTATAATGTTAGGGGAAACACTGATATTATAATAATTGTTGATTTTATATAAGTTAGAATACAAATTAAAACTGTAAATATGTGTGCAAATTTAGCAAACCTTCATCGTCCTCCTCGAACAACAGCTGTAGTTTCATATGCACAAATTGCCTCTTTGTTTTGACTTAAAAACACTAAAACCAGCTAAAGACAAAATTACACCTTAATAATAAAACCCTAACATGTTAAAAATGACAAATTTTTCAAATCTCAATACTCAGTTCCACTCACCATCGCAGCCAAACTCCATTCAGCTTTCATGTCTTTTTCTTCCTCCTGCCGCAGAAGTTTTGGCGCTTCATGCCTCAGTCAGAAAGGTGGAGATGGTTGGTTGTTTGGATCCAGAGAAGGCTGAACTGATGGAGTGTTTTCTCCATGAGTCTGCCCATGTTTCCCGTTGCCTCGTGCTGCAGCAACAACGCGTTTCAAAACGACAATCATTTTCAGTACAAAATATCAGATATTCTTTACTATAACTTGCCCTGTCAACAGAATTAAAAACTGGTGTATAGTTCAAAGTCTCAACTTTTAAACACAGTAAATTATATTGTGTTGAAAAGTTTTTTTTTTAACCACAGAGTTGCTTAATTGCTGGTTTCAAACTGTGGAATGGATTTCCTGAACAGAGGGGTTCTCATTACTCCATATCTCAGCCAGCCAGGAATCATGTCTGGAGTCATTTCAGCTGACGACATTATAGCACTGACATGGCTCATGGATCAGAAAATATTGGAGCCCAGTATTGATACTGGATCACATTGACCCCATCCCTAATCTCACATATTAGCAGTTGATGACTCTCAGCTACCACACAAAGTTTGATAAGCTTGCATTGGATCAGTTCCAAAAGTAATCAGATGTAGATGTAATCTAATTATTTCATTCTTTTGTATTAAAATCTGTTCATTGATTTTATGATATTTTACCAGCAGTATAAATATACAGACATAGGCAACGTACATTGCTGCGCATTCGCCCCAGTGTGTATGAATGAGGTGATGTGTGAGAGTGAGACATATTTCTTCACAAAATACAACATTGAGCTGTGCCGCTGAAACACAATTTATGCCATAAATGTTCAGTTAAATATTGGACACACAAATCCTGGCCTACACTGTGAGTCTATAATTGTTTAACTCTTTACAAGTTAACAGTAAAAGCAGTGTAAACCTATTTAAAATGCTTAAATTGTGGTTTAAATAATGCCTTTGGTGACAAAGACTCAGAATTCCCATTTTTGTGGTGAGAAAGTAAACATAAAAGTATAAGAAATCTGATGTTTGTGAACAGGTTGTAAAACATGAATAAACCATCTTGGAAGTGGAGGATGATCCTTTTGTAAAGGAAATGTGTTAAGTCCAGTCATTTCATTTAAAAGCAAAGCAAAAAGCACTTGTCAAATAGAAAATTTTTTGGACCTCCTGGCTCTGATTGCAGCCTGATTTGAAGGTAAAGATGAGAGGAGATAAAGATAAGGAAGCTAGATTTTTATTTTTTTATTTTTTCTAAGAACTGAAGAGGCTTGGTACTTTTCCACAGCAGTCCCTGGCATCTCGCAGTTATCTCCAAACCTTGGCTCCCGTTACAAAAAGAAAACTTAAAATATGCTATCAGGCACAATAAAAGTGAAATTTCCCACAATATTTATTTGATTGAAAAGACGTTTAAAAACAGGAGCACGTCTACAAGCTTCAGCTATTGCCTGCCTTTTTTAACAGCTACTGCCAGGCATTTTTTCACACACTTAATTACCCCTGAATCAACAAACCTTTAATCCCCTCTCACTCCAGCTCTGACATTTGTAGAAAAAGTATCTTGTTAAATTGTCGTGTCACATGCCTGTTCCTGGTGGATCTCTGGGTAAAGGGTCAGTGCTCTGATTTGAAGTGAGGAAAGCAAGTTGATGATGCAACTGAAGTGTTGGAGACTAGGGATGTCCCGATCCAGATTTTTTGGCTCCTGATACAATCTGATTTTTTTAATGATTAGTGTTTCCGATACCGATCCGATAGCTTCATTTTTTTTTTTTTCAAGTGACAGGGTTGGTAGCATTAAAGCGAGCCCTGCTGTTCCCACCATGAGAAACATCCAGTTTGCAGATTTTACATGATGCAGTTTCAGCATCATTGTTTTCCATTGACAAGTGTTCCCACACTGTGGACATGGTTGCATACGTGTTGGTGCATGATGATGGTGAAAAC